AACTCGAAAAACACGGGCCACGAGAAGAACTGGAAGAGCCATAAGGATGGGCAGATAGCGGCCACGTTGGCTATAGTGGAACCGGAAAGCCCGACTAGACCAAGCCTCAACCCAGCTTGTTTATTGCATAGGATGTGGTATCGAGGCAACAGGGCGAAATTAAAACAACCAAAAATGGCAGTGACTAAGCTCGCGGCGCTATTGCAGCGGCTGTTTTGTAACTGTAAACTGAGGGAATCACAAAGTTATGTCAGAAATATCGAGCAATAAGCTTTATGACGTCCGAAATTTCGGTCAATGTTTTAACTCTATGAGGTTAACGACGGTTTGGCGGAAACATCCCAATAATCGGACGTTTAAAAAAAATCGGTCGGCGACTGTAACCCACTAATTTCATATGCAATTTCACACTTCCCCTGATCTCTACCGCCAATCTTGTAACCCTGCATTAGTGACTACTTCGTGGCGTCGTCGATCCCCGATTGTAGTGGAAAATCAGCGTCGATGGGCGCCACCACAGTTCTTTTGTTCCTCGGAGCTTGTGTTTCGGTCGGCGATAACGATGTTGCGTGTTTGAAAACATTTCATCAGCCTCTACGTTTCGAAACAAAAACGACGAGACCCACTGTGAGCACGTTTCACATCAATCACTCCTTACACCACATTCCTTCCCCGATGATCGACCACCGTATTTGCTTTCTTTGGCTGTTCTTCCTTAAAATCGCTTTTAGTCTATCACAAAGGAACCGATGTGGTCTCACCATTGAGAGCAGCAGCTCAGCGATAAATTAATATTTCTGCATGCCCGTTTGTCACAAAATTCAACGGTTTTTGTCCTTGTTCTTTTTTGTTGGTTTTCCATTTTGAGTAAGATGCGCGAGCGCCAAAAACACAAGTTCGGAGGAAAGGAAGAAAGAGAAAAAAGTGAAAGCCGCTTACAACTCCCTGCAACGCCGAATTAGAGCGCAGCTCTTGAGGAGGAGGAGGGAAGGGCGCTGGGGGGGGGGGGGTTAGACTAACCAGGGGGGGGGGTCACGTGACCTTGGGGGGTCACGTGACCTTGGGGGGTCACGTGACCTTGGGGGTCACGTGACCCCCAATGCCGATGATGTCATCACTGACGTCACTGATGATGTCATCAGTGACGATGACGATGCGGGTACCGACGACGTCATTAGTGACGTCACTGATGACTTCACCAGTGATGATGACGATGACGATGCGAATGTCAGTGACGTCATCAGTGACGTCGCTGACGACGTCATCAGTGATGATGACGATGACGATGCAGATGCCGGTGACGACATCAGTGACGTCACTGATGACGTCATCATCACTGATGACGTCACCGGCATCCACATCGTCATCGTCATCATCACTGATGACGTCTCCGGCATCCGCATCGTCATCATCACTGATGACGTCACCGGCATCCACATCGTCATCATCATCACTGATGACGTCACCGGCATCCAAATCGTCATCGATGACGTCATCATCATTGATGACGTCATCATCACTGATGACGTCATCGGCATCCACATCGTCATCGTCATCATCACTGATGACGTCACCGGCATCCACATCGTCATCGTCATCATCACTGATGACGTCACCGGCATCCGCATCGTCATCGTCATCATCACTGATGATGATGTCATCAGTGATGATGATGTCATCAGTGATGATGACGATGACGATGTGGATGCCGGTGACGTCATCAGTGTCGATGACGTCATCAGTGTCGATGACGTCATCGGGGGGTCACGCGACATCGGCGGGGGTCACGTGACCTCAAGGAGGGGGTCGCGTGACTTCAGGGTAGTCACGTGACCTCAGGGTAGTCACGTGACCTCGGGGGGTCACGTGACCTCGGGGGGGGGGGGGGGGGGGGTCACGTGCCCCCCCACGAAGTCACGTGACCCCGGTGGGGGGCTCGCGCGGTGCATTATGGGACATTTCCCATGATGCACCGCGCGGTTACGCCGACGCCGACGGCGACGCCGACGCCGCTCAAGCCGGAAACGGGCCCCTAAGAGCTGCGCTCTAAAAGAAAGAAGGTGGATACCACGCACAGTGTGGTTGTTGGTGGAACGCGAAGAAGGCTTCGGAGGCATGACTGGTGGAATGCCAAACAAGGCTTCAGTAGAGTAGGGGGTCGAACTCCAAGCAACTTTCGTCGGGATGGTTGGTGGGCCCCAAGCAAGTCTTCGACGATGTGCGTGTGCTTGTGAGCGAGCGCTGTTCGGCACCGTAAGCGCCCAAGCCACCACGACTTCTCGGCCCCGAATGGCGGAGCAAAGGACCAGACCACCACCGACATCTTGGGACCCTGACTGGACTCTCCTCCTCCTCCAAACTGCATGGCGACTTTGATTTGGCTTCTGTTCCTTTTGTTACGCTTTTAAAGCATTTGCGTTTTTTTGTCGCGGTTACAAAGAGCGGAACGCTCGCAAGATATGTTATGCAGTTGAACCTCGATTTAGCGAAGTCACCGGGACACCCTAATTATTTCGTTAAATTGGGAGCTTCGTAAAGTCGAGAAAGACGTTCTTCGGGATAGGCTGCGAGGGAGAATCCGAATTTGTTCGTTAAATCGGGAAACTCGTAAATTCGGGTTTTGTTAAATTGAGGTTCAACTTTATTCCTTTATATTTTTTATGACTGTGTGTGCATCCTGTGCACCTTAACTTTTGAATCCCGTTGCTATAAAACAATGTTCGTAATGCCAAGCACAACTCGTTCTCAATTCCTACCGCCTCTCCGAAAATCTATCGCCAAGGTGTGGCTCTAGCACCTCGACATCGGTCCAATTCAAATTACAAGTTTGTTTGTTTGTGGCATCTTTTCCACCCAAACCTGTGAGTTGTTCATGAGCCGTAAACATCCCACAGCGTGCCCGTCGTCCCACTCCTTCCAGAAAAGAGCTTCATTGGCTTCGTTCGATCAATCCCCTCTCTCTTTCGCCACAGCCACAGTCACCCAACTTTTAAGAATCCGACAGATTAAGCGAAAGTTTCGTATTTTGGGATTGGTCTTCCCCCGTTGGGACGGAACTTTGGTGCCCCCCGTCTTCCATCAGCGCCGAAAACGTAGAACATAGTCATTCGGCGCGCTTCAGGTCCGGCGGCAAGACTCGGGTCCCAAACTGGTCCGAAAACACCCTCCCCGGTGAAAACGCCGCCCGGCGCTCTTGGCGGGATGGGAGAAAAAACGGCTGTGTGAATGAGGCCTTACTTGTGTTCAACTTACTGCCTGCCCCACTATCAGCTTAACTGGGGCAGGCAATATCCTTTTTACGTGGAGTACGTGCCATCTCCAAAGAAACAATAGAAGCTATTTTTTTTCTGTGGTATAGACAACATTATTGACCTGAGGGGTGGCCCCTAAGGCCGGATTTTTAGCGTTCTGATTTATCTGAACACAGCATATTGACACGGTTCAACTCCATGCTCCCTGGTGGATACTGGGATGCAGAAATTACCACTGAACTCAAACTCGAACAAAGAAGGTTGCACTTCTGGATAATAAGGATAAATCCTTGCAACCCGAGGAGCTGCTTAAAAAGAAAGAAGAGTGGCCTCAACACGCGAGGAGCCACTTTGTATGTTACAGTCAGCGGCAGTATGAGCTGGACCAGTTTAGAGCTAGCCGAAATGGGTCAACTGCTGTATAGTGCCCTCTAGGCATGGTAAGCTATTAAACTGACTGCCACATTGTGACAATAGGAAATGGGGCAGTTCATTTGAACCTCTCCTTTAAATGCTTAACCAACCCGGGGCTCCACGCATGGCTTTTGTGCAATGCCGGCCTGAACGTCGTTGGACCAACTCATGTTGCCATACCCTGTACCATGTTTCAGAAGGCATTGAAAATAGAAAGCGTTTAAAGACGGAGACCTGCGGACATCAATTAACTTTGTGAATCTAAATCAGTGCGTCCTCAATGAAGAAAACACCGTACATAAAGCATGCTGCCGCACTACTGGGAGCAGAACTGTGTGTATGCCCCACGGGGAAAAAAAAAAGAAACATCATGGGGTTTGTGTTAGCAGGAAAAACCGCAGAACGCTAAGGGTTAACAGGGTGATCGACCCGGCATCCCTGCGGCCTCCATCAACAAACCTCAAGTAGCATAAAGGTTTCTAGTTGGCCAGTACATTCAATCCACAAATATGTTTACAGAGTTCCAACAGTTGTTAGACAAAGTGTGCTACAGAGTTAGCATGCACACCACTTTGGTCCTCACTCGCATTTCACTCAGCATAAGTACCAAAAACAAACTCAAAAAATTTTATCTCTAGGTTGGTTCCCCACATTAAGGGATTCTACAACGATGAATGTCTTGATGACTAGCCTTTCAGTTCAGAGACACAAAACGCCAACCACTTTTGTGTGTGGTGTCATGCTCTGTTCAAGACCAGACGTCCGCTTTTCAAGTCCCAACTTTGACATCGAAAGCTTAATAAGGAATTGAAGGCAAGGTGTCTAAGTTGAGAGATATGCGCTTATTCTTAATATTAGGCTTAGAATAGCTTTTGCATTGTAATGTGCTTTGTGCATTTCAAGTTACGTCTTCATCTGTTTCTTTTGGGGGTGACTTGAGTTGTGCCAATGCAGTTTCACTTTGGACTGATGCTTACATCCTAATATCCTAATAACGCAACTAGAACATTGAACTCTAAGCACGGGAAGTTGACCATCACTTCAACTCACGCAGAAAAGAAACAAGATGGGCAGAATTGCACGAAAGCCACACGCTGTACCCCCAGTAAAGATTAGTTCACTTCCAGCTGGATTGGGGAATTGGTCTTAGCTGGATCCAGCTAGATTGTCTCATTCACAGTAGGACTCAGTTGGGACCAGTTTCATAATCCAGATGAGGATGGTCTCATTTTCGTGTGGGACACTACCACAATAAACGGCCAACCAAAGCAAAAGTGTCTGGGCTCTCCCCTCCCACACCCTTTTCTATCGACACGAGAAAGCGTGGATAATCACCTCGCGGGAACTTGGCCGGTGGCATGTAGAGGTCGTCGTCTGGAGAGCGTCCTCGCCTGCAAAAGTGAACAAAAGAAACAGTTTGCAGTGCCACGATTCCAAAGCTCTGTTCATGTGACTAACAGCTTTGTCCATAATTGCATTAACTGTATGACACTTCAGTTTTTTCCCCAAAAAATGCTTCGTAATGGCTTGGTTGTGTTTTAGGCGCGTCTGCCACCGCCAAAGCTCAAGCAGTTTCAGATTCCGAACCGGAGGTACTTTCGAGAGAGTCTCCATCAGATGGTGAAGTTATCAGTCTCTGAATTCATTCTGAAAAGCATTAGAAGTTTGAATCTGAAGAGCCGGCACTCCAGTTACCACTACTGCCAGACCAGCCGACACGCGAAAGGACGATCTCGTGCGTCAGATGCGCAGAGCGCCTAATTTGAAAGCTATAAATAGCCCCGGCAAAGCGACACACCGCGCGAATATAAAGTTTGTAACTAGCAAAAGACATAACAAACAGCAACACCTCCGCGGTGCATGCGGTTTCGCATTTAGGTGGCCACCGTCAAAAGTTTAACCACCGCCATACATGTAGAGCCATGATCGTCAAAGGCCTAAAGGCTGGCGACACTCCTAACTGGTGCTCCCATTTTATGATAAAGTGACACCGCCAAAAGAAACGAGAATGGCCACAAGCTTTCATAGAATTTTTCTGTCATAACACCAATAACGCCAAAAGAAACGAGAATGGCCAGGAGAGCCAAGGCTGTCTCAAATGCTGCAGCTGTTCCTCGGACACTGAGTTGAGGCTTGTTCATACAGTTGCTTTTGACTGCGTTAGGACTGCTTGCATCGAGCTGTTGCTATGGCGAACCTTACGACAACCCAGTGGAGAGGCACCGTGCTGCATGACGCGAAACGGCGCAACGCGGTCGACACAGCCGTATGAACGAGCCTTTCCACCAAAAGAATGAAATCCTCTCAACAGAAATGGCACAGAAGTATTCTTGGCGCTGCGGGTCGCTCGGCTCAAGCATACAGCGCCGCCGTAGCAAGAGGTCGTGACGCACCGGACCAGAGGCCAAGATTGATTTGGCAGCTGGCTAGCTTTGCGGCAGCTCCTGCTCTCGTAACACATAAAGGGGTGTAAATTTCTGTACAATTTTTCGCACGTCCTTTTTAAGACCGAAGGATAAGGTGACTACAGCAAGAAGCCAGTTCAAGCATTGATACGACTCAAAGATTTGGATGGACGAAAACCGACAGCACATGGCTGTATCTTGGAATGAATGATCTGAATGAATTATCATATTCCTTTCTAGACATATATACATATATCATTATCCCAAGATGCCTCCCACCCACGCGCACCGCACCCCGCTCCCACCCTCTCCCCCCTCCCAAGATATTTTATTTCCGTATTTCTGGCCGAAATATAAAGATAGCCATTTTTTTGTCCTCCTTTGCTATTTTTTTCAAAGGCACCGAACGATAGCCCCCTTCCAGTAATTGCAGGGCACTGGCCAATGTTGGCCTCAGAAGAAATGGTGTAACTTAGCCAGGGCGGGAGATAAGAGAACATTGATGACTACGAAGGACAATCGTCTATGGTTCATCGCACTTCCATGCGATTACAAGTTTCGCAGGTCAGAATCTAAAACGAGCACTTCATCTACATTTTTTTATCACACCGAAAGAGCCTACTCCTTATTTTCACCAAATTGGCTTTCAATTTTAGGTGGGCTATCTCTCGAGATATTACAGTAGTGTAAAGTGCACCTAAGCGACACTCAAAGAGCACTTTTGCAGCCACGCGCCAGCCGAACCCAGACTCAGCCTTACATGGGAAGCGGATCCAGGTCGTCCAGGCGATCAGCAGGAACCCCGTCCAGGTCCTCGTCATCAGAAGACCCGAAGTCGTCGTAAGTCGGGCCGTGGGCGTACTGAGACCCCTCGAGGTTGTCGCGAGGCCCTTCGGAGCATTCGGGGGATGACTCGCACCCCCCACGTGACAGCTCGTAGTCACCGGGAGACCCGTAACTGTCGCGAGAAGGCCCCGCCGCTAAGTCCCGTCCTACCGCCAGCTGGGTGGCATGCGGCGCCGCCGCCAGCGACGCAGCAATAATTTCCGGCCGCGTCGCCTGGAGCACGCGCAGTGCGGCCATGACGTCCATCTGCGTCGGCTCCGTGGGCATCAACTTGAGCGCCTTCAGTCTCTCCTCATGGAGCTTTCCTGCCATGTGCGTGTCCCAGTGGACCACCAAGGTCCCGCACAACGGACACAGCTGCCCGCCCTCCTCCTCCTCTTCCGAGCAGACTGGCTCCGGCTCGCTCGGGAGGCGGTCCGTAAGAGTGCGGCCCTTGAACGGCTCCACGACTCTCTCCGGCGCCATGTCCCGTGTCGGGCGACCCTGCATGCGCCAGCGCAGGCGCGACACGTACGAATAGGCTGTCTCGCCCAAATGCACGGTCCACGTGGCCACCGAATGCTTCTTCACGGTTTGCAGCTTCTTGACGGCGCCGCCGCCGGCGCCACGGGGCACAAAACCGCGGTTGGCCCCGCCCCGTGGCCCCATGAAATTTCCGCGTGGGAAAAAGCCGGGATCGTAGCCGCCACGGGGGTTGAAGCAGCCACGAGGGTTGAAGCCGCCGCGAGGCCCAAAGCCGCCGCGACAGCCGAAGCCGCCGCGAGGGCCAAAGTCGCCGCGAGGGCCGAAGCCGCCGCGAGGGCCGAAGCCACCGCGAGGGCCGAAGCCGCCGCAGGGGCCGATGCCACCGCGGTTCTTGAAGCCGCCGCGGAGAGTGTGACCACCGCGAGGAGTTTGGTTGCCGCGGGGAGTGAGGCCACCACGGGGTTCGAAGCTGTGGTTTCCACCGCGGGCTCTGGTCGCCCGGCGTTGGCGTCTGGAGTGTGCGTCGTTCGGCATCCTGGGCGGGAAAGGAGGAAACATGGCACCGGGAAAAATGGCGGGCGCCAACCAGCATCCCTACGGTTTGCGGAACTGACGTCTGGGGACATGCCCCCAGAGTTTTGCCACTGCCTCAACCCGTGCAGATGGTTCTTCGAGGGTGGAAGCAGTTACTGGGTGCTCTACAGGCTGTCCTTAACACTCTGGAATTGTAATGAATTTCTTTGTTTTCTTTTCATCTCAAGTAGATGAAAATGGCTCCGACTAAAAGGGAATGCATCGAGGTCGCTCTTGTGGTTTGCAGCCAAAGCCAGCGAGAAGTGGCTGAGGAGTTGAACCGTTTACTTTCTAACAGGCAACCAATCACCCAAGGCTCTCCAAGTAAGCTCATACAAACATTCCCGGAGAGGATGCATGGACGACAAACCTCAAAGGGGTCGGCCAATAAGTGCCACCGAATACAAAACCAGCGATGCACTTTTTGCGTCCTACGGCAAATGCTTTTGGGAGTCAGTTCGCCATATCTTTGTGCAAACAGACCTGAGGTTGCATAGGCGGCATCCCTTCAAACTGCTCTTGCTTTAGAAGTTAAATGAGGACGACCCTGGGAGGCACATGGAATTCTGTCAAAGGGCACGAGCTACGTCTGAGGCAGATGGAACATTGTCAGTTCAGGCAGTTTTCCGACGAACTCAACATCTATATGTCGGGCGAAGTTATTGAACACAATGCCCGTTTGTAAACTCCCGAAGATCCAAAAGTGGAAAGGGGAAGAATCATATTTTTGGTCCATTCTTCTACAGACAGAATGTCAAAGTGACGCTTACCTGAATACGGATTCCGAAGCAATGCCCAGCCTGCTGACCCCGGAAGTCGAGTAGGTTGGTTCAAACGGAACTCAGCACCTCATCAGGTCACTGTTGAGTGAGAATACCTTCAGTATCAGTTTCCAAGACACCGGATAGGTCGCCGAAGTAGCGTGGAGTGGTCACTGCTAAGCTCACACCCGACACCCCTTGACATCAATTTTTGAGTACACTTAATAGCCGTGGTTTACGCCATAAAGATTGTTATTGATCTGCAGCACCTGGAATCCAAATCCAGGTACGCTGGATTGACTCTATCATCAACCGAGAATTAATGGAATGGAAGCATCGACTGGATCTGTATGCTACGAAGAAAGGGGGTCATTAAAAATAACATTCTCTACAATTCCAGACTTTTCGAAGACCCTGTAGATGTGCAAATGGACTCCGCGAGACAGCATTGCATTGCAACTGTGACTCGGTGTCCTTGAAGACCACTGGGTTATGTATGACCTTAGGCTTGGGCACCATAGATCTTTCAGATGTTCCCTTAAAAATAAGCTCCATCCTTTTGTGAAGCAAAGAAGGTGCCCTGCAAGTTGGCACTCCAGCACAAACTTGAGGAAGAGTTACCTTAATTGAAGCACCAATTGTGGACAAAAAATCTGCAACTAGAACATCCAATCTTCGTAAGATTTCCCACAGGATAAATGCTACGAACAGCCACCCTAAGCAGAATGAGGACCATGAATCGTCAGGCCTTGCACTCCAGGTATGAGCCCCACAACCTAAGACGTAGGTGAAAGCTGTCCAGCCGGAATAAGTCGTAGGTGACCCATGTCCATGTGAGCCAAATGAAGCCGCAGCTCCATTAACACACTAGACAAAGAGCTCGCTAGGAGCATTCTGACAAAATGCGGTGAAGCCTGCCGTTGATGGCCATTCATAGCAGCCTCAGAATGGCACGTTCCAGCAAGTGACACTGCTTGTCGCATGGATCAAGGTTTGGCAGATACGTACGATAAGGAAGTCTGCAAGGAAGCAAAATCGCCATTTCCTAGCCCACACAGGCTTCCCTGGGTATTGGCTTATTGATTAAAAAATGATGCCACAGTTCCCAATGTTCCAAAGCACTGAATATTCCACCGTCCCAAAGTACCACCATTCTATATAGCAATCAAGTATGTCTACTCCTTCAGTAGGGGGATAGCAGCATTCTGGTATCGAGCTTTAAATGGAAGATATAGTGGTTACACACAAAAATCTTTGTGTGTATCCACTGTATTGTTCAATCAGCGTGAGCAAGTTCGTCTGCTCCTTGCGCAGAGGGTGTAGCAGCGTCAGGTGTCAGGGTGCCGAGCACCGGCGTAGTCAGCTAGTCATAACAATGACTGCCTTGCGTAATTCCACCGGTTCCTTATGAACCAGGACTTGGCCTGCAAGAAAGGAAACAAAGTAGTTTGAAGGGTACATTGTTTTTGCCAACTAGCCACTGCCAGGTCCACTACAATGATTGAAGAACTCACAGCAGACATTGTTTGCTACCCCCAAAGAGAGTTGCACCTGCTGAAGCAGAGCTTTGTCAAAGACGTAATCACCCCCACTCACATTTCATGCCTCATCTCTCATGCAGAGAGAGACCCCTCACTTTCTCGTACCTCCACTCTCACACACCGAGGAACACGATTAGGCTCGATTAACTCGCCATATGGTTGCCGGCTAAGCATGGCTATTTTTGACTTACGGGACATCCAGATGCACGTCCTTAGCGTGCAAGTGCACTCCTGGCATCACGACCAGGATTCGCCTCCATGGTTACTTATCCTGGTTACTTATCATCAGTTCCATAAATGACAAGCTTGATGGTGTGTGCTAGGATTGTGGTGGATGATTGCAGACTTTCAACAGCCACACCATGCATTGAGGCAACACTGCGTTGCCCCAACGTACGAAAAAAATCAATGGTATGCCAGAGTTCAATCCTAGCAAGCATTTTGACCAGGAGCACAAAGAGCAGAATGCACAGACCAGTAGAGACTGCACATGACCAGTCTGCTGAGGTGGCTTGCGGGAACAAACACTCTGATTTTAGCTCCTTTCTCCCCTACCCATGACATTGTGCGCATAACCGCACGGCTGGAAATGCATAGCATTTCCAGCACTAGGAAGCTCGCAACGTCAGAGTAGCAATAAAAGGATCGCATAGCAGGCGATACGTGCTGCAAACAGCTACACCGCACCTGGCAAACAAACTTCCCGGGGTAATCCCTCGGGTTAACATAACGGGATGAGTGAGACGATGGGGCTGTGCGACTGAGGTTTCACCGTGCATACGCAAAGCCACTCCTCTCCCTGGCGGGGCACGCCCATACTTGTTAGCAGTGCGGGTAGCAGATGACGCGGGGGGGCTGGTGCGCTTGTCGTGCTAGCTTCGCGCGCTTCGTAAAGTAATGCACCGAATGCCAAAGGTACTCAAATGTCACAGCATCGTATTAAACAGAAAGGTATCAGTCTCCCGAAAAGTTCTACATGGTTCCTGGGAGGTGATTCAAGAAGGATTGCCAGAAACCTGAATCGCCAGCTGTGCGGAGGACAGGGTTAATTATTGTTTCTCTATCTTGACGCATGATGCAGTAATGCAGCTACGCTTACTTGTCACGTTAATAAGGACTTTTCGTAGATCACACGCGAGAGCATGCAAGACTTTTGCGTTGCTTGGGGTAGCTGTCACTTTAAGGGCGGACTGAGCTGGCGTCCGTGGGGCCCGCAATCCGACGCTGACGTTCCCCATGGCTGTCAACAAAAACCCGAATATGCAGTTACCATATTTTTTTAAACAACTTCACATTTGAGAACCAACACTTTGCTTACCAGCCAGTTTTTGGCATTTTGATGAATTAGTGGAACTGGGTCGATAAAACTAGAAACATCAACGTGGAAGAGACAGAAAGAGGTATCTCTCTTCCACAGTTGATATATTTTTAGTTTTTTCGCCCCAGTCCCGGGCAATTCATCGAACTTGTTAATATACACCCAAGCTCACCTGCGCTCTCACAGTAATTTCTACCAATTTTGTTCCCCGTTGCTTACAAGAGAAGGAGAGTAAGCAGCGCAAGAGATGAGGGAAAATGAGGCAGATAATCATAGCCCGTATTGTGCGCTGACTTGAGCGCATAGTTGAAAAGAGATTTACACAGACGGCTGTACTCTAGATTTTTTTTTAATATATTATTAAAAGGATGTAGTTAACCTACAACAGGCATAATTACTTTCCAAGGAAATCTAAAACATAACTTAAGACATTCTTCGGTCAACTAATAAGAGTGTGTTGGCAATGTTAGATGTATAAATTGAAAGCAACATAAAGAGGACGAGGACAGGGCACATCACAAAGGCCAATAACTAAACATTCAGGGCTGAAATTTAAAATTAAATAAAATTTTTTTTGCAGAGAGTGGAGTAATATTGACGATCCTTTCCTGGCACAAAGACTCAAGATATGTGAAATTTAATTGTCCCTAAAGAGCAAATAAAAAAAATAGTGACACAAAAAATCTTATTAGTAGTCAACCGCTACACTGTTCAAAATCATCATTCGGCAGTCACATAAAAAATAAGTTGACAAAGGCGACGCTTTACGACGCAAATGCAAGTCGATTGGAGATCACTCTCTTCACTAATAAAATTATAAGTGTGTTATTGACGCAGGTACATGAATTGCGATTCTACCGCTTTGATGGCAGTGGCAGATGCACGCATAGTAAACTTTTTTTGAAATTTATTTTGTTGTTTGATCCGCTCAAAATACCTGGGAACAAATGAGCGGTGGCCTTATTGATGTCCCGTTTCAGTTCTTTATTAGAACCTGACCCAGAGTTGCAATCAAACTGTGCATGCCTAGTCATTGGCTTCATTCGGATGAATTAGAACAGGCGCGGCATGCTTCCAGCTGCCAGTAACTCAAGTTACTAAGAGCACTGACCTGATTTCAAGGAGTGTATGCGACAGCACAGCTGTGTGCAAAAGGCAATTTAAACACTATTGCATTTTCATCTTTGTCCGAATACCCCCGACTTTGAAGAGCGTGCTAAACCATAAAGAAAAAGAGCATTTATCTTGAGGCGAATGTTACAGTCGAAGCTGTCTTGCACTTGCGAGATGCACTTCGCAGACGACAAATATTCCTATGTTTGAATTATTTGTTCCACCCCGGAGACCTGACACACAGGCAACCTTTCTTTGCAGAGGTTGGCTTCCCTAAAAAAATGATCACAGTTTTTCAACAGACAGAAAGCCTCAATGCGATGCTCGCCATTGCAACTGGCAGTGCGATGGGAAAAGCGAACGACTAATTAGGGCGAATTTGCGCCACCGGTATCGCTCCAGCACGCTGTGTTGCCAGATTGGGCTTCGGCTATATATAGCCGAATTGGGCTACATATTTTTCGTGTTGGCGTCGAAGTTTGGTGGTTGACTATGCGGCTATTTTTGGGCTATTTCTAGGGATGCGGCGAACGTTTGTCGAACCTCAGGTTCGACTAGTTAATTTTCAACCTTCTCATCAGTTTTGGAAAAAAATTCTCTATTGGCTAGTTGAGAGGAGAAAGAGGAAAAAGAAAAGCATCAAACTTGCACAAACTTCAGTGTTTTCACAATGCGTAGAGAAGCAATGCTTGAAGGGTTCAAGTGGTCTCCCCACAGCTCGGTGGAACAAACCAAACAAACAGACTGGACTGTTACCACAGGTCCAGTATCACATTATCTAACCAGACGTGGACTGAACTCCCCAAATGATGCTTTGGTGCCCAATGTGAGAATCCTTAGGCACCCAAGTTCGTAAAAATGTAATATTCGCGGCTTCCCCACTAAACAATCGACTACCTTCCAGTCGTTGCCCACCCCAAGAGCGGACAACACGATCAGAAATAGCGTGAACCGGAATGGGGGACACTCATATCCTACACAAAGAAAAAGAGTCAGGTGGGATATTGGTAAGGACCTTAGATATTGGGGGTTCTGGTTTGAAACTCCCAGTGTTCCAACTGTTCTGCTTCTGTATTCTCTTCTTTTACTGTACGATCATATCTCCCAAGCTTCACAATACACCTGCCTTTGTGTGTTTTGTACTTTTGAAAACCTACAAAGGATGGGTCATTGTTGTACGGACTTCCATTCTCGCAAGGCTTTTTTTTTTCTTCTTTAATTAATAACTGACATAATGTACACAAAAAGTGGTGCATCTGAGGGTTTAAAAAGAGAATGTAACGTGTTTTGTACGACTATAAAAAATTGTCAATAAAAGGCTTAGAAATCACTTTTTTTTAGACGCTATATTTATTTGTGGCTTTGTTTATATTTGGGCTATTCCTCCCAGCCATTTGGCGGTTTTTTGGTGGGACCATCTGGCAACACTGCCAGCTGAACGGTCCCGTACAGGGGGACCCTGTTGGAGCGAAACACTGATCCTTATATCTATTTGCTGGATTGCATTTGACCAGCTCAGCCTATGGACGGGAACGCAACCACGGTCCGCCATCTTTTTGGTAGAGTTATATTATCTCTAGCCATCATAGTAATATGGCGGATAGCGCTGTGGCGGCAGGCTGCCATAAAGATAGCCATGGGTCTAGTTAGTACACTGCACCGTGAGTGATATTTCTTGCTTGATTGAAGTTGCTTGACGAAGCAGATTCTTGAAACCCGGCGTGAACGGTAACCCCATCTTTGAGGACCCGTTTAAAGTATTACGTTATAGAGGACAAGAGCAGCAGTTAATTATGATATAAAATGTTTTACGAAAGCACAGCACCGGTGAAAAGCAGCACAGCTTGCATCAAAAGCAGACGCCGTACCGGGAACGGGCAACTCTACAATTCGACATTGTTGACAGGCAGGGCTTAAAGTCTGGGGGGTCTCAGGGGGTCTCAGACCCTACACTGATTTTAACGGGTAGTCTGAGATCCTCCTCCGAAGCCTCAGCATTAGTGAAATCAAAATCATATATACCCCCCCCCTTACCACCACCTTCTTTTAGGGACCCCCAACTTAGGGGAGACCTTACATACTGTTGACAGGTGATGGTGTAATTTCGTTGGTGGTGAAATCTGGTGCTCCAGGACGCTTGGATACAGATCAAGAGACACTGTGGATGTGCTTGTGATCATTTGGGGAATTCTCGCGAGTGCATACATTCATCGGGGTCTCTCCACAAACATGTGCGCCGATGTGCCCATGAGTGATTTATATATTCTTTTGTACCATATTTGCCTGCGACGTTCTAAATAAAAAGCATTTAAACAAAGTGAATTGAAGCTTGATGAGCCTGCTGTTGTCCACAGGCAAGCCAGCAGATGTTCACGGCCTATCAATGACGGGGGGCCTCTTTGCCAAAGGTGCACTTGTGCTACAAGACATGAGGAGCCGGAGATACACAAAAGCGTTCGTGCGCCCCGCCATCGCCCAAATCCGCTTTCGATGCGAGTTGTGCTGCTTTTCCCCAATGCAGCGATTTCGTGAAACTTCTGCCGTGTCCTCAAAGACTGGGCTACCGTTCATGCCGGGTTTCAACAATATGTTTCGTCCAACAATTTCAATCAAGCACGAAATATCACCCATGGCTATTTTTATGGCAGCCTGCCACCACAACTGCCAAAACGCTGTCTGCCAAGGATGGATGATAGTGGATGCACCAGCTGTACCCTAATCAGGGGTGGATCCAGAACTCCATTTTCGGGGGGGGGGGGGGGGGGGGGGGGGGATTTTGTAAGGATACTATTCTCCCATTCTTTCTTGTGCACCGGGGGATCCACCAATGGCAAATTGCCCTCCGAGAAGGGGGGAGGGGGGGGGGGGGGTCGACTTTGTTTGGGGGGGGGCGGCCCCCCGTCGCCCCCCCCCCCCCCCCCCTTGGATCCGCCACTGACACTATCTAACGGGCGGTGGATTGCGCCACCATACTACTATGGTGTGGCTAGAGGTAATATAACTCTACCAAAAAAATGGCCGCCAGAGGCCGCATTCGCGGAGCGGGCAAACGCGATCCAGCAAATAGGCATAGAGACGATGGAGATCAGTGGAGCGAGAGCACCGCGGCTGCTGGATGCCAGAGATGGTTGCCTCTACCGGCCGATCGACGGCGGTGACGTTTCAGGGTCCCGGTTGCATGCATCGGAGCCAGTTTTGTGGTGCGGCAGAGACGCTGACAACTCACGTTTTAAGCCGGTGTCACACACGGCTCTATGAAGCAGTGTCTTTTTGAAGCGCTGGCTTCGATTGGGTTGGTTGGTGTAGCGGCGGCGCGTTCTTTTTGACACCTCCGCTTGCGTCAAGGGTGCCGCAGGCTAGGACAGCGCTGAACACGGTCGCTGGATCATTTGGCGCTTGGGCTCCTGCTGGTGGGAGGAAGCTGTCAAAAAATAAACGTAGACTGCAGAAAACGCTGAACGGAGGTACCAGCGCTATAACGGGAATAAAAGCTGCAAAAGCGGGATGGAACGAAAAATCCAAAGTCGTAGCCACAGACAGAGCCTGGCTTTGTTGCGATCTGAGAATGGAGCCTAGGAAGTAGAGTCTGGTCTATGGTCTGGTGCTCTGCCAGACTTGTCTCTTTTAGCGCCGTTACCATAACGACTCTAAACGTTCGTTTTTCCGCCGGAGCCACAAGGCCACTTCGGCCGCCATGACAGGGAGCCGCGAACACTTCCGGTTCGGGTTTCGTTTGAATGCTTTTCAAGGGCAACGTCACCGATTTGTTTCGTGCGTTCCACAGTTAAATCGGCCTTTCGTTACGTTTTCCGCTACCACTGGCTTCTTCAAGTGCTCTCATACCTTGCAATTAACTGGGCAACTTTGCTATGGCCACTCTTGGGTAAGTTACTTTTAAAAAGTAATGGACCTTTTCCACATACCGACGGCACCAGGCGGTGGCTGCACGAACTAAAAATCGAGGAAGTGGCCTACCTGCGCTACCAATCGATACTGGGAGCTACGCTACCAGTTTCTTCGCTCTCTGAGGAGCGCCGCGTGCCTAACGCGACTTTCAAGAAGGGGCATCCGTGGCGTCCACTCAAACGTTGTGTTTATCTTTCCGTACACTTTCTTTTTTTGTGTAACACAATTATATACATGCTGCAATCACGTGTTCTACTCGCTTATCCACTGCCTCCTTCCGAACTTCCTCGATTTTTCGTTCCTACTTCCGCCGCTTGGCATCGGACGCTCACGCGTGCGCAGAACGCTTCTCGGAAAAGGTCCATTTGTTACAGTTAGTTACTTTCAGAAAAAAGTAGCAAAGTTACGGTTACAGTTACTGCAACAAAAGAGTAACTCGTTACAGTTAGTTACTTTTAAAAAGTAATGACGTTACTTTTCAGTTACTTTTCTATAACACAAAAAAATTATAAAAACTAGAAAACGTCCCTCACAACGTGTTATTGCATAAAATTAAGAAGTATGCTTTTTATTTCATATTGTAACTTAGCAGCAGTTCCTTCTCGAAGTTAGTGTTTGCCAGTTTCCACGCAAGAGTAGTGGCGCAAATCGAAATGCGAAACATGCGCAGTGCAGAGTACTGGCGCTAATCAAAATACGAAACATGCGCAGTGCCCTCCGCATGTATTGTTGTTTCACGGTTGATTTACCTGATTAAAACGCGTTTGCACAGAAAAAAGAAAAACCCCAACATAGATAGCGCCTCAAGTGTTCAGTCACAAAGCACAAGCGTGTGCGCAAAGATAACTATATTTTTTCACAAAATCTACACGTGGCTATATTCGGGTCGTGACCCGCGAGAAAGAACGTGTTCACAACTTTGTGCAAGGCCAACGTACACTCGAAATGTCGGAATAGACGATTTGGAAAGTCCAAGAAATGGCTAAATTGCACTCGTTCAGTGATATATTATTCATAAAACACAGGAAAGTAACGACAAAAGTAACGTCTTTACTTTCATCGTTACCTCAGAAAAGAGTAATCGAACTACAGTTACATGTTACATTTTTAAAAAGTAACTCGTTACAGTTACAAGTTACCAAAAGAGTAACGAAGTTACAGTAACGCGTTACTAGTAACGCGTTACTACCTAAGACTGGCTATGGCAGATCTTCGCGAAGTAAAAAATGCAGCGAGCCGCGGCCGTCAAGCACAAATCACACGGGCGTCGATGTCAGGCTCAACACTATAGGGTGTTTTCACTGACGTAATTTCGTCCACCATTTTGTTGTTGTGAGCTATCTGGCGTGTGTCAAACTCGAGCATTCCAAGGATTTACTTGACCCCTCAAATTCGAAGATCACATAAGCTTATGTCTTACCACGCTGACATCATCTCAATTGGTTGCGACGTAATCCTTCAAAGTAGTAAATTTGTTTGAAAAACAAAATAACAACAAAATGGCGAATCGACGTTATGTGCAAACAACCTACATAGGATCGCCTAATTTTGAAATGAAAGATACACATATCCGACTTTTCCGGATAGCGACGATACTTGATCAAACGAATCACATTTGATTTCTTTTGCAAGTAAAGATTAATTGAAAGATTCATTAGTATACGCCCAGATATAACTTTATATTTTAGCCTGAACGTAGGTTTTCATAGCACAGACCAACTTGGTAGTGCATAAAATATTGAATACATAAAAGAATTCCTTTTACCGTTTTTATTTTTTTAATATTAGAGCAGAATGTTTTGATGATGCTACTTTTCGTGTGAATGTGGCGAACTGACGGTTTATGTGAGTCAAAAACTCTAGCAAAAACTCACGAAAAAGATAATAAAAAAAAGGAAGAAAAACTGCTAATTTTGAGAGTTCCGGCTCCACTTTAATTTGGGACACAACAATTTTCGAAGTTCGAGAGCCAAATTTTTCTTTTTGGCATGCAATAAAGCGTCTGTTTGTGACACGATTAAAGCCTGAAAGTGGACTGATTCTCGCCTGGGGCAAGACGTGAAACAGCATCGGTACCATCCTTTCGATTCTAACTCTCACCCACGTAGTCGAACACAATAATGCTTGTGTGTGTCTGCCCAAACAGAACAGTCTGAACAAATGCGATATGTCTCGCGTGATCGTAACAAATCGAACGTGAAACTAGTTTTTCTTGTCACCTGGGTTCTAGAATCTAAGACAGCCTTGTGACGTCCGCGTTTGCACCCGTATCTCCGTGAATGTCGGAATCGCCGTGGTAGGCCGACGTCACAATCACGAGATCTCCACTCAACGTCCAAAACTTGCCGCTAGCTTTTTGCGGGGGACGAGCGGCACAATCATAGTACACACACTGCGACGGCTTTGTCCGAATCACGATATCTCTACTTGTCGTCGAAAAACGCACCGCTCGCTTTTTTCCGGGCACGACCGAGCACCAGCAGGACAATTCTTCGCACATTCCTTCAACTATGTCCGACAGGCGTAGCGTAGTTTCGCTCTGGCCAGCTCGAACAGTCACAGCAATGCTGCCCAGTTGATGAAGTGATTCTGTTCTCATACACGCTCTCCCATGCACGAAAAACACGAAACAATGACATGCTGATGCCTCGGTTGATTCATAGGCACCTAACTTCGTTGAATGTCTCACGTGCACACAAATTTCCACTGGGCCGTCAGGTATACGGTTTTGTAATTTTGGCCATGGAGGCCAAATAAAACGAGATACGGTGCTTTTTCTTGGCGCCGTATGGTCCAGAAATGTACACCGATCAATCTTCGTCCGGTTTTCGACATAACCTTTTCTGATTTTCTGCCGAGAAAAACTTAACACACGCTGCTCATTCCTGCTAAGTGAAACATGCTACACACGAAGCTCGTGAGCCGAAAGTTAGCTCGGCCCCGGGAAGTTCCGCCATTACTTGTTTATGTTTACCTTGGAATACCCTGTATATTCTATGAGAAAACTAGGCGTGAATCTCATGCCTAAAATAATTATGTTTAAACATTTAACGTCGTATTGCTTTCATTAAATAAAGTTTACAATAGTGTCTATTCGCTGGAGATAATATAACGGAAAATTAATTACATTTTAAGATATGGGAATCAATCGATTCAATTCATTCTCTGAAACATCTTGGACGATGCTACACTCGCTCAAAGGTCATTCACTCAAGTGAGTGCGTTCCCACCAGAATATTCTGACTTTACACTTGGTCGAGCATTTGAATAGTTGGGGAATAGAAGGAGAATGGAGTTGAACAACCTAGAGCCACTAAGCTTTCACTCGCCACTCACATACATGATAAAAGCGAACTCTGGCGTCCACCGACGTCCGGCTAGCCGTTATCTTCAGAATGGCGTCAACGGCATCTATTGGCTCCCAAAAGTCATGTGTTGCGAGCAGTTTCTTTTGTTTTGGTAATGGTGATATTTATTTGCACTCAGAAAGAGGTGCTGGTGAAAGCAGAAAGACCGAAGGTTCATTCCAAATCCTGCAGCACATTAAAAAAGAAAAAAAAAAAAGACAGAAAAAGCGAAAAATGAGGCACCGTGGAAACCCCAGCCCAGTCAGAGGCCCAGGCGCCCCACGCCACCCCACGGTCAGTGGCCACCAACATTACTAGAACAACTCAGTTGGGAAACTGCCATAGAGCCTTCTCTGAAAAAGGGGCACCGATCCGTACTCGAGAATCAAGCTAATGGCAATTGCAACGCCACCATTTCTCTCGCAGCGGCCCACTCGGGGAATCGCACGGAGTATCGCATTCGATAGCGTTTTCTACACGTACAGTGCCACTTTTGCAAGCAGCGGGGCCATATCGTGAAAGTTTGTCGACGAAAAGCGAAACAGTTCTCACCGACGCCTAGGCCTACAGGTGGCAGCCGCCAGAACGGCCGGCGGCGCGACAGTGAAACAGCGGATGTTTTCGGCATCTTCCAAATGACTGCCGAGGAACCTGCTATCCGCGTGGTCGTAGAAGTGAACGGGAACCCTCTCGAGATGGAAGTCGACTCAGGAGCGGTGTGCTCCGTGATCAACGAGAGAACTATGCGTCAGCTGCGGTTGTCCAAGCACAAGCTGCGACCGTGTGAACTACGTCTTCACACGTACAACCAGCAGGAATTGAAGGTGCTAGGCTCCGTGATGGTCCAAGTCACCTATAAAGGGCGTCAAAAACGACTGCGTCTCGTCGTGATCAAGGGAGCAGGCGTAGGCCTGCTTGGCCGAGACTGGTTCAAGGCTCTTGGGATTGAGCTGAGAGTCAATCAGCTGGAAGAAGGAACGAACAATCAGAGCCCGTCCAGCGCAGCAGTGCTGAGTCGTCACGCCGACGTTTTCCAACCAGGTCTAGGCAAGAGCAAGGGACCACCGTTTCGAGTCGAAGTGGAACCGACTGCCCAGCCCAAGTTTTTCAAACCGCGTCCAGTTCCCTTTGCCTTACTACCAAAAGTGGATGAAGCCTTGGACAAGCTCATCAGGCAAGGCATTTTGGAACCGGTCCGACATTCCAGTTGGGCGACTCCAATAGTACCTGTGGTAAAAAAGGATGGCACAGTGCGAATCTGT